CTTCTCCAGTGCTGCATCAAACCATTATTGTAAAAACAGAACTATAATTAGTAGGATGTGTATAAACGTCTGAAAGGGGGATGGGAAATGGAGAAAGGAGCAGAAAAGGGAAAAACAGAAATCATTAGCATAGTTGATAGTTGTGTGTGTGTGTGTGTGTGTGTGTGTGTGTGTGTGTGTGTGAAGGTAAAGGAAAGATTCAATGGGGATGTGAAAAGATGGGATACTAATAGTCATAGATGAATAGTAATTAGTTATATAAAGCACAAAGTATTTTGTGAAAGGATAGGATTGCTGCCTGGTCGGTCTCTCTCGTCCACTGTCATAGGAGAAGGCTAAAAACGAAATTTCTTAGCAGAAATAGGAAGGAAGTACAAAAACAGTTACACTAAGGTGATATATATTCTATATGGTAGGTTGCCAGAATAGGAGTTACATCAGGTAAAACCATACGATCAAGAGCCAATAGTAAGAAAGGAGTTCAAGCTGCAATGAAGATATTGGTAAAAAATAAGGCCTCAGGAATAGATGGAATACCAATTGACATGATTCAAATGACAGATGCAGCTCTGGATGTGCTCACTAAACTATACCAGGAAATTTGGAAGATAGCTGCCTGGTTGACCAACTGAAAGAGATCCATTTTTGTTCCCATTCTCAAGAAAGGTGATCCAACAGAAGGTAGAAATTATTGAACATTATCATTAGTATCACATGTAAGCAAAATACTACTGAAGATCTTTCAAAAAGCAGCTAGAACAGCATTTTACACAGAGGACTGCCAGAAGTTAAAGCTGGGCTTAGAAGAGGCCATGACACCAAGGATTTCATTGCTGATGCTAAATAACTCCTGGCTGAGAGCAAAGAATACCAGAAGAATGTCTATTTGTGCCTTATTGACTATGCAAAGACATTTAATTATGTGGATCATAACAAATTATGGCTAACATTGAAAAGAACACTTAATTCTGCTCATTCAAAACCTAGACCAAGATGCTGTTGTGTAAAAAAGAGCAAGGGAACTCTGAGTGGTTTAAAAGTGAGAAAGACATGAGTCAGGATTCTACTCTCTTCATCTATTCAATCTGTATGCTGAGCAAATTATTTGAGAAGCAGGACTCTATGAAGAAGAATGTGGAATCAGAATTGGAGGAAGACTCATCAATAACCTTTTTATGCTGATGACACAACTTAGCTTGCTGAAAGTGAGGAGGACTTAAAACACTTGCTTCAGAAGGTCAAACCTGAAGCCTTCAGCATAGATTGCATCTCAAAATCAAGAAAACAAAAATTCTCACCACTGGACTGAGAGGCAACATCATAATAGATGGAGAAAAGATTGAAACTGTCAATGACAACATCTTACTTGAATCTACAAACAAGGCACTTAGTACCAGCAGTTAGGAGATCAGGAGACATATTGCACTGGGAGATTCTGTAGTCAGAGACCTCTCCAAATTACTGAGGAGCAATGATATTAGATTGAAGACTAAGATGCACTTGATTCAGACATCTTTTCAATCACTTGCTGTGTATTTGAGAGCTGGACAATAAAGAAGGACGACAGAAGACGCATGGATGCCTTTGAACCGTGGTTTAGGAGAGAAGTACTTAATATCTCATTAACTGTTAAAAGAACTAAGATGCAACCAGAGTACTCCTTGGAGGCACATATGTTCACGTCACATACTTTGGACTAGGAAAGGCTATTCTTTGGAAAATAATTTCATGCTTGGAAAAGTGGGAGACAACAAAGGAGAGGAAGACTCTCAGCTAGGTGGACTGACACAGTGACTCCAGCTCAAATGTGTCAGAGATTGTGAGATTGGCACAGGATAGGATAGGGTTCATATCTGTTATTCATAGGGTCGCTGTGAGTCTTACTGGACTACAGGGTGGCTAACAACAAAAATAGGGAGAAGCCCCCTCCTCAGGAATACAAGGGAACCAAACCCCAACTAATCTCACAAGTCCTGAGTCAGGGCTAGGCTTTCTCATGAGACTGGAGCCAAAAAAGAAAACAAACCACAAAACCAAAAACAGTGCTCACCTGAGAGTTGCTCTTGGCTTCTGCTGCCTACCAAAAGGGTTGGCTGCACCCCTAACTTTCCAGGGGTCTTTCCCCGCCTTTTCATTCCTTTGCCCTTTAACTCTTTTGCACGGCCTCTTTCACCAGCCGTGCTGCTGTTGCATTACCTTAATAAACCTTTTTCATCTGTTTTGTTAAATTTGTCTCTGTGTGTATGTATGTTCACTTATTTACAGTCACCTCAGCTCACCCACTTGTGAGTGGTGAAGAGATAAATAGGATTCCAGTTGGTCATATTTCATATATGAATGATTGTATGAAACACAATGTGGATGGAGGATTGTATAAAATGTGTTGTACATGAGTGAGACACAATGCAAATGAATTATTGTATGCAAACCAAAACTACATAGTGGAGTGGACTTGGGGGGAGGGATTGCATAACAATGAAAGAGTTTTTCTTCAGTGACTCCAGCTCAAATGTGTCAGAGATTGTGAGGTTGGCACAGGATAGGATAGGGTTCATATGAAGAAGAGTGAATTGGGGGTAGGGGGTGGGCAGGGAGAAAAGTGCAACAATGAATGACTGGAATTCATTAAAATTAATAAAATAAAAAGGGGCCGGGGGAGCTCCTTCTCAAATGTTTCCTGGCTGGATTTTCATCTGAGAAGTAAGGGTTAGCTCGTACAAATCTGATCCTTTGTTTGCTGGCTTTCTACCAGAAATGCCAGGAACTTCAGGCAATCAATCCTGGGCAAGGATTGAAACCTTAGACTGAGAAGAGGGGTAATGTTTCCCAGCCATCAGTGCTGATCCGGTGCAATAGAGTTGGAACCAAAGTTTTAATTGTACTGCTCTTGTGGCCTGACTCTTAATATTTCTGAAGCATCTCTACCCATTGCCACTTAAAGCTCTTTTGCTCAAGTGGCCCATCATTCTCCAGTTCTCAAAGAACTTGATATTGCCTTAGAATGAAATCTCCTGCTCCTTCTGAGTTTTCCCCAATAGAAAGGTGCTCAGACAGGCTGCTGTGTACAGTACAAACACTGAGCTTTGCTAAAAATTATGTTCACTGAGTCATTGAGAAAGTGTTCTTCTGACTATTGCCTTGCCTGGAGATATAGCGAAGGAAGGAGGACTGGAATTAGGTGGAAGTACCTGATCTTTGGCTTGTTAATATCAGGAATACCTTGCCTGCATGAGGCACATTGCAGTGTGTGGGATCACTTGTTCACTGAGGGGCCATTTAAATTCTGAAATAGGAAGAATGATTGAGCCTAAATAATACCACAGACACAATTTATTTTAGACACAAGCTCATTAGAACTGCATCTTCTATTTTGGACATAAATCATTATACATCTTTGTCTTCTATAGCAGCAATTCCAAAGACAGGAAATAGCCAAGAATGGAATGTAGTAGGGATCTATTTATGCCAAGCAAAGGTTTATGAATTCATGAGAAGTCTTCAGTGACAGATCATGAGGCAGGCTTAATAAGAGCTCGGTCCATCTTTCACACGGCCACCAGAGCTGCCGCTCTAAAAAAAAAACCAAATTAAATCATGACATTTCTTCTGCTTAAAAACCCTCCAGCAGTTTACTATTCAATCTCTTTGGCGGGGCAGCTCATTGTACTTTGAACTCTGGCTTGAATCACCCATTACGATCCCTTCCAGACACTATTTCTAACCACAGTAATTACTTTCTCATCTCCAGAGGAAGACCCACCATTCCCCCCCCCCCAATCATCTAGACTGCCCTCTCTTTTATCTGGTGAACATTATTCATCTTTTAAGACCCTTCTCAAATGTTCTCCTCTCTGACAACTTTTCAGTTTCTCCAGGGGGAAACCCCTCTGATGGTTCCTGTTGAAATTCTTAGAAATGTGTGCAAATCAGCCATCCCATTAGTTTGTAATTATTGATATGACTTCTCTCCCTAACATGGCTGTATTTATTTCTTTTAAAAAATTTTATTACTTTTTTTATTGTTGAACATTTTCTTCCTCCCTCCTTTTTCCCCTTTCTCAACCTACCCTGCACTGCACCCCTTGTTCCAGACTGTTGTCATATATATATATATATAATGCCTAATCCTATATTCCTTTCAAACAGTTCTTTCCCTCATCTGTTCTAATGCAGTGTTCATTATCTACCCGCTTTTCCCCCCATTTTTTCCCCAGCCCCCCCATGTCTTTCCTGTTTTAGAACAGTGGTGTTATGCAGTGTTTGTACTTTTGTGACTGAGATATTTAGTTTAGCATAATATCCACCAGGCTCACCCTTTGTTGTGTAATGTTTTACAAGTTCATTATTTTTTCAATGCTGTGTAGTATTCCACTGTGTGAATGTACCATAGTTGTTCTATCTATTTGTTTATTGACAGGCACTTGCTTCCATTCTTTTGCTATTATCAATAACACAGCAATAAACATGGGTGTGCATACATCTGTTTGAGTCGTGGCTCTGGTTTCTTTAGGGTATATTCCCAGTAGTAGAATTGCTGAGTCAAATGGTATTTCTGTTTTTCAACTTTTTGAGAAAGCACAGACTGCTTTCCATAGTGGCTGTACCATTTTATATTCCCCCCAGCAGTGAGTGAGTATTCCAGTCCCTTCACAGCCTAACCAGCATTTGTTGTTCGTTGCCCTGTTGAACTTAGCTATTATTGCTGGATTTTCTTTCTAAATTTTTGTTTTCATCTTTGCCTGCCTGACATAGGAAGTATTCAATATATTGGGTGTTTATGTTCTTTACTCTTCTCCTGCCAGAAACACTCATTTTCCAGGAACAATTAAACATTGTGCCTGGACCCTTGGAAGGTGAAGAGGAAAATGAGATGAGAACTCCTTGGAAATAATGATCCTGTGATCCTAAGATTGTGGAAACTCATTTCAATAGAGTTCTTCAGAACGACCCTTCTTTTCTAGTCGAAATACTTAGTTGTAGCAGCTAGAAAGGTCCTTCTGTCATTTGCTTCCACTCCTTTTCTTTTGGAACAAGTCCCCTGGACACTCGTCCACTCCCGTTTTAACATTCTGAGATGAGCAGAAGCACAAAAACTGCATCAGCTAGGTAAATGTGAAAGACCCAAAGATTTTACAAATATTTTAAATGTAGAAAGGGCTAAATGGAAATCTGAACTACCACAAAGAAACAAGACAGGTATTATCAGTAATACAATGTAAATGGTAAGTGAAGTGATTAGCATGTTTTTAAAATAAATACTCTATATGAAACAAAGCATGTTTTGAAGAAATACAAAATATTTATTACACAAAAATGTAGTTAGAGGCCAAACTACTACTTTGTTAAACTACAAAAAGGTACTAACTTATTTCATAATTCTTAAAACAACAAAAGAAAAAAACTTTACATTTCTGTTACTCAAGCTAACTTACTAAAAATTTTGAAAGTTAAAAAACTTGGTATAGAAAATGTCACTCTACAATTATCTCAATTTATTTTGTTATGTTATGGTAAATTATGTCCAAACTGTTCTGCGTGCTTAAATAAAATGTTTGTAACATAAATATTTATATCAAGAGAACAAAATGGACTTTAAATGCTGTGTTAGGAGAAACAATGGCAATGATAGCAAGGAACTTACTACTCGCCTCCGACAGTTGACTGACTTATGCTTACCTGAGGAAGAGGAGTTTTACAGACATGACCACACCCGTTACTGCAGCATTTCATTCCAGTGGGACACATTTCATCTCCTGAGCACTCTTCAACGCAAGTGCCAAAGATGCCTTTCGGCACCTCTGGACAAACTCCAGGTCTTCCAGGTCTTTGTAGCTCTGAAATATAGAATTGTCTTTTTGCAGCCAAGAGTGGTTACTAAGATGAGGAGGAGAAACAAGCTAGCTGTCTGAAGCCCTTGTGTCTGGGAGGACTCTTGTTGGTGTTGTGTGCTGTCCAGTCGAAACCAACCCACAGCTGACCTTCCAGTGCATTTTCAGAGGCAGTAAATTCCACAAGAGGAGATTGCCCGTCCTCCTCCCATAGAGCAGCTGGTGGATTTGAACCGCATGCCTTTGGGATTGCAGCACAGCTTCTTACCACTAGGCCATGAAAGCTCCCTTGATAGGACTCTACCCCTTCCTTCTTCTACGTGCCCCTGAACTCTTTCTTCAACCTTGGCAGCTCCACCCTCACTTCAAAGTCTCTAATTCCACAGTCTGGCCCTTGGGGAATATTCTTGTTTCAAAGACTGTGGAGTCACACAGGTAAGACAATGGAACTGACCCTGCTTTCCACTTCTTCAATGGGTCTTATCTCAGATCACAGGCCATCATCTCCCTGTCCCCACACATGCACAGGTTCGTGAGACCTGCTCCTCAGTGCAGTCCCACTCCCAGGCTGTGTTTCATAACCATAGGAGGGACTTTTTCTTTCCTTTACTCCTAACATCTAACCAGACCCAACCCAATGTGATGAGGAGAATGGAACACACACGTTGAACATGCATGAAGTTCTGAAGGAATGTGTGTGACCACTTTGCAGTGGAGACGTTGACTGCCTCTGTGGTAAGCCATTCCTGGGTCCTAGGCTACATTCAGCTTTCAGGCAGGTGGCCCCTGCACACTTACCTCTGGAAGGCAGTTTCTCAGCACAGGACATCTGAATCCCCAGCATGATGAAAACTGCCAGAACTGAAATGATGCCTGTCTTCATGTTGGCCTTTGACGTGATGTACACAGCAAACTCAGCTCCAATTTATACCTTCAGTGTCACTGGAAGGGAGGGTGGAGAGTGAGACGCAATAGAGAAGGAAACGTTTAATAAAAATACGAGCTGTCTGGGCAGTAGCCATGGGGAACCTCCTTCCTTTGTTCTATTTCACAAATGGCTTCCCATGGGTTGTCTTGCCAATAAAAACAACAAATATGACAGTTAATTACACTTTTCAGCACTCTGCTTATTGCTAAGTCACAATTGGCTAAATGACCAGTTTTTCTGGAGCTTTTGGGAACTTCAGTCAAAGACAAGATTTTCTTGGTGTCATTTATAATCTCAGAGAGGGGTTCTTTCTATAAACTAGAGTCAGCAGCTATATCTCAAGGGTTGCTTGAAATTTCAGTTTCTGGAGGATTTTAAATGCTTCTGGAAGAGATAATGAATGTATGCTTTGGGGCTACTGGTCAATGTCCAGGGTAGTGGTAAGGAGTTGTGCTGCAAACTCAAAGGTACAGGGTTCGAATCTACCAGCTGCTCCATGAGAGGATGGGCAGTCTCCTTTCATGTGATTTATAGCCTCTGAAAATTCACTGGAGGGTCAGCTATGAATCAGTTCTTACTCAGAGGCACATAACAATCACCTCAGAGTAGTGGCTTGAGTAGCAAAATCATCCCCCGTGGAGATGTACATACCTCTTCGTCTCTGTATGGGGAGAAAGATGGACAATCTTCTGACTTGAGATTTATAGTCTCCCAAAACCTGCTGAAAGGTCTCTGACCTGATGGGACTTAACAACAAGAACAACACACCAGCGTGCCCCCAGAATAAACGCTTGCACATAAAAATACCAAGGCCTATAGTCAAGTTGAAGATATTGCCAAGTTACCATCCAAGGACAGCTACAGCAATTTACACCTCCACTCACAGTGTAGGAGACACTGATTTCATGACAGGTCCTTAAATTTACAGAAAAGAAGATTCACTTGGTTTCGTAAAGACTTAGATCATAAAGCACCTCTTGTTCCAGATTGTTGTCATATGTATGATAGCTAATCACATATTCCTTTTAAACAGTTCTTCCCCTCATCTGTTCTAACACAATGTTGTTTACCTATCCACTCTTTTCCTATTCTCCCTCCAACTCCACATGTCAGTCCTGTTTTTAACAGTGGTGTTATGTAGTGTTTGTCCTTTTGTGACTGAGATATTTCACTCAGCATAATGTTCTCCAGGCTCACTCATGTTGTGTAATGTTTTACATGCTTGTAGTTTTCAATGTTGATGCTTTCTCAAAAAGTTGGAAATAGAAATACCATTTGATCTAGCAATTTCAAAACAGGAAATAATACTGTAGAGAAACCAGAGTCATGACTCAAATAGATGTATGCACACCCATGTTTATTGCTGCATTATTAGCAATAGCAAATAGATGGAAGCAACCCAAGTGTCCATCAACAAATGAATGAACAGGGAAATTATGGTATATTATCTATTTAGGAGATCAAGTTGATGGATCTTTCTGTCCTAGGGTTGCTTGTGGGCTTGAACTGTTGACTTTTTGGTTAGCAGAATAATTTGTTGTTAGATGCCCTGGAGTAATTTTCCACTTGCAGGAACCCAATGTATAAAATGACACACTGCTTGGTACTATGTCATTGTCACAGCTCTGCTGTTTGAGCTCATTGCAACGACTGTGTTTTCTTGGTAATCTTTTTTCTTCCCACTGTCAACTTTACCAGGAACCCTGGTTGCAGAGTGGATTAAATTCTGTTCCACTAGCCCAAGGTTTGTGGTTTCAATCCAATGATTGCTCTGAGGCATAAAGATGTGGCAGTCTGCTCCCATAAAGATTTACAGTCTTGGAGACTATGAGGAGCAGACTTTTGGTCACACAGAGTCAAAATAAACTGGATGGCAGTGGATTTGTTTTGTTTTTCTACTTTACCAAGTCTGATGTCCTTCTGGAAGGACCGATCCCTTCTAATAACATATCCAAAGTACAAATGGTCTTGTAATCCTTCCTTCTGAGGAACATTTGGGTTGTACTTCTCTCAAGACAGTCTTGTTTGTTCTTCTCACCATCTAGAGTTCATTCAATATTCTTCACCAACAACACAATTCAAAAACATCAGTTCTTCTTCCGTCTTCCTTATGTATTGCCTAGCTTTCTTGTGCATATGAGATGATTGAAAATATTTGGCTTGGATTAGAAAGTATTTTATATCTAAATTAAATTATTTCCCAGAGCACAACTGCCAGGAACTTGATAAATCCAAGCCTGTAGAAGGGTTTGAGAGTTTCACCATGTTAACACTAGAAACCAAAGGCCTTTAGGGCTTAGACTCACCTTAACATTGCTTTTATTTTTCTCATTTCCTGACACTTCTAAAAGACCTTTGAATTCATGAGAAAATGATGATAGGTATTCATTGCTTCTAGGGAAAGGAATTGATGGATACTTATATGATAGAGCTAAGAGGGAGAACTGTTTTCTTAGAGGATATCCTTGCATGCCTTTTGACTTTTGTATAGTCTCTATATGTAAAATAATTCTCAAATAATTTTAAGAGTCATGATTTGTGTTCATGATATTAAGCTACATGGTGGATACTCTGTCATAAATTAGAACATCTGGTGTCTCCGTGCTATCAGAAAGGAAAGTTGTCGAGTTGTTTCCGACTCATCGTGAGTAGAACTTGCTCTGTAGGATTTTCACAGCTATGACCTTTTGGATCGCCAGGCCTTTCTTCTGAAAAGTCTCTAGGTGGATCAGAACCACGAACCTTTTGTTTGGAAGCCCAGCACTTAACCATTTATACCACCTGAGGACTCTTTGGTGTCTCCACATCCATTGCCATTGAGTCAATTCCAACTCATGGAATCTTCGACCTCTCTTGTTAAAATCATATCTGTATTTTTCTAAATTAAAAAAAAAACAATCACTTTTTCTCTTTTTAAAATTTTATATATTTTTACAACCCAAACATACATCTATAAAAATGCAACTATTATAAAAAATGCACTTACAACTTTGCCTCCCTGTTTATACATCCTCTTCCATTTTTTCCAGTTTCTTAGACTCAGCAGGAGCCCAAGAGGAGAGGAGTTTAGAAGGGACACAAAGTAGAGACAACTGGGAAAGAAAGACAAGTCCCTTGAGTCTCTGGAAGCCAGAAGTGAACAGAGAGCACAGCTCAGAGTTGCTTTGTGCCTGCAGAACCCCATCATCAGGAAGAACTTGATTTCTTTTACTATCCACAACTCAGCTCTTGTTCTTCTCCCCTGCTTCAGCTTGCTCTGCTCTTGTTCTCCTGGGAAGAAAGTGTCCATCTGAGTAGGAACATTAGGGAAGGTTCTAGGTTGAGGAGGGTGGGGGGTAGGATGAGTGAAGAGCGTTTCCATGACCCAGGCCATGAGGAAACAGAGCTTCTTCCATCTGGAGTGAGAAATGGCCTCGCCACCAAGCAGGAAAGCACAGACCTGGCATCCAGAAGGCGTTCCACAAATGGTAGCTCCCATCCTTTTTGTCCTATCTCATATATTTTGGCTCTGGCACCCACCTAGTAACTGGAGAAAGAAACCTCAACTAGGAAATCGAGTAAGCAGATCCCAATTCCCTGGTCCCAGATTAAGAAAAGGAAGTGGTATGAAAGAGGAGAAAGGAGGAGGGAGAACAAAATCTCTTATTAGGCAATGGGGGAAGTCCCACATTACCCCACTGCAAGAATTCCATGGTGTCGCATGTAATTCCTGAGTGAAGGATTTCCTCATGAAGGTGGTGAGGCCTTCTGCAACCTTCCTTGGAGAGGTGCACCCGATGTTCTAGCTTCTGCTGAACTGAGTTACTAACTTCTAGTCGGCTCAGAGACAGGAAGGGGTAAGGGACACACTCAGTTGTGGACAAAGAGACGTAGATTCTGGCCCTAACCTTGGCCTCTCACTAATAATAAAGCCAGAGGCAAATAATGGTTCAGCTCTGGATTTCATTTGTCAACTGAAAGGATGGGTGTCTAAGATCCTTCCATACAGGAATCCAAGGGCCCCTTAGAAAGCCACAGTGGTCTCAAGAATAAACAAGTTACCTCTTACCCTGGCTAGTAGTTTTGTATTCTAAGGAAAGCCTTAGTCTTCATACTCAACTGCTGAAGCAGACCTTTTTGAGAATGTCTCCTCTCATTATAGTTTATCGCTCCACAATGTATCTACTTCACCCTGGATTTTCCCTGTAGAGAAGCTCAGTTCACCTTCTAGAATGCTCTTTTCTGAGCTGTAGAAAGTGGACAAAAACTAATTTCAAACCCACTGCCATTGATTGGATTCTGAATCATGGCAACTCTCCATCTGGTTCCCTCCTACAGAGACAAAAAGAAACTGCTCGTATTTCTCCCGTGGAGATGCTGGTGAATTCCAACATGCACATCAGTTAGCAGCACTTACCTAACCCCCTACAACACCAGGCTCCTTGGATGGAGTAGAAAGAGAAGGTCAAAGTCAATGATACTTCATTTGGGTAACGTGATGTTAATATTTTAGGTCACCATGACTATGATCCTCACAACTATTGTATGTGTTGTAAATTCTAACCTCTGTAATGTTGATTGAAATACCAAACCAGGATATTTTCAGTTGCTTTCTATGCACCTGAAAGCTGGACAATGAATAGGATGATGTTTTTAAATTGTGTTGTTGTGGAAGAATACTGAATATCCATGAACTATCAAAAGAACAAATAAATCGTCATTGAGGAAGTGCAACTGGGGAGCTCCTTTGAGGCATAAATGGTGAAACTTGCCCTCATATACTGTGAACCTGTTGTTAGGAGGGACCAGGCCTTGGACAAAGACATCATCGAGACCAGTTCTTGGAAAAGGTGGAGGGTCAGAAAAGAGAGGAAGACCCTCAAAGAGATTAATTGACATAGTGACTGCAACAATGGGTTTAAGCATGATGGAGATTGGGAGCATAGCACTGGCTAGAACAAGCTTCAGATGTATTG